TCCTAGTCCCTTCTCCGCTCCCCTCATGTTTCCTCCACACAGCAGAGAGAATGTGTGTGTTGGGAAAAGGGCCCAAGCGCAGGCAATAGATTGTGGGGCTTGGCACCATTCAGTCTTCTTCAATTGCACTTTCTTTGAAGCCATGATTCCTTCCCGGCCCGCCTGAGGCGCTGGATGCAGTGCTAACACTGACCACTAGAGGGAACCAACCCCACACTTTGCTTCTCCCTTTCCCCTGGAGTCAGGGTGGGGGCGGGGCTCCCCAGGTCCCTCTCCTCCCGGGGAGAAGTTAGAACCCAGACTGAGGTATTGCCCTGCCTGGGACCTGCAGCAGAGATACAAAAACCAAGAAACAGAAATCCCGGGGACAGACACGATTCACAAGCGCTCGTCTATGCCCTGAAATCATCGAGTATCTGGAAAGCAAGAACTCTTGGAAGGTTTGATAATCTCTTCCCCAGCTTTGAACCTGCAGGTCACGGAAAGATGCCCTGGATAAAAAAAAAAAAAAAAAGTCCTTTCTCCTTAGTGTAAAGTATTCAGTTATTTAGTTAGTTTTATTTCTTTATTTCAGTTTTATTTATTTTATTTCCTTGAGATGGAGTCTCATTCTGTTGCTCAGTCTGGAGTGCAAATGGCATGATCTTTGCCTCATTGCAACTCCCTTCCACCTCCTGGGTTCAAGTGATTCTCTCCCTCCTCAGCCTCCTAGTAGCTGGGATTAGCAGGCGCCCACCACTATGCCAGGCACTTTGTACTTTTAAAGACGTGGTTTCTCAAAGTATGCTGGCCAGGCGTCCAAACTCTTTGAGTTTAGGTGATCCACCCTCCTGCCTCCCAAAATACTGAGATCACTGGCGCAAAACCAACGCTCCCAACCCAGTAATTTCAGCTTCTAAATCCTCTGAGTGCAGATTCTGCCCACACAAGGGGCCTTTGCCTCATTTTGTCTCTTCCATAAGGCAGAATTGTTCTTTCTCTATTCTCATAGTGAGAATGGCCTGGGTGGTGCATGGGGGTGCCTTGTAGAAACCTCACAGCAGGACAAGGCGAAGGCAGAGAAGGCCAGGACTGAGCTCTGTCTCCTGGTGCTCAGGCTGGGGCTATTTCAGTACCATCTGAGGTTGCTGGGCATCAGATGCCCCCAGAGATGAGAGAGCAGGAAACATCCTCACCTGCACTGAAATCATCCCCTCGCTTGAGTTTAAGATCATCTAGCACTGATGCTGTGTAGAAACAGAAGCAGCAAGCAAGCAAGGAACGCTGAAGTGGTTGGCTGTGGTAGTTGGCAAAAACAACACTGAAAACCCCACAAGCCCTGTGGGCCACCTGTGATGTGAATATTGGGCCTCTTGCCAGCCTTCCTCTTTCAGAGCAGTAGCACAGAGCCTTTTTTCTGCTGTCATTCTGGCGCTATTAATGTACTCAGCACCTGTGACTCCATCATCTGCTGGGAGGGCACTGGGCTGGGCTGCTCCTCCAGGCAGGGGCCATGCGGAGGATCCAAGAGGGTGGGTCATCAATGATACCAGTTCTGAGGAAAAGCTGTGGGGCCAAGAGAGGTGGAGACACCACTTCTCCCATTCTCCAGCACCAGCAGTAGGGAGCCAGGGAATGTGAGGAGAGTCCTCTCTGGGAGCTCCAGGCTTCTGCCTCCGCCACCATCCTTCTCCTCCAAGGTCAAACTTCTCCGGGACAGACGGCACCCATGAAGGTGGTCTTAGCTTTCAGTGTTGGGGGACTTAGATGTGGATTTTCGGCCATGAAGAAGTCTTCAGCCTCCCTTTAGGAACAATGAGCTTCTGGTGGTTTCAACTGGGGATCATTCCACAACCCAAGCGAGATAGGCACCGGGTGTGGCGAGGCTTCCCAGACACGCGGCTGCCAGGAACACATGGGATCAGCCAGGCAGGTAGAGAGTGTCTCTTCCTCTCATCTATCCGTTTGTTTTACCACAGAGTTATGGTGACTCAGTGAGGGACTCCTGGGGAAACAACTTTGCAAAGGATTGTACACACAATGCAACCATGGGACCAGAGGAAGAGCTGGAGCTCACAGGTGGAATAGCCGCGACGCTTGGGGTCTAGATTTTCCCAGGCCTGGAGCAATGGAGACCTTGTCCAATACTCATTCTGCTAGTAAAAAATCAACATTGAATTAGACTTGGATTTTCCTGACAGCTTGGAAGGGCCCACTGTTGGGGCATTTCTGGGGCCAGATCCTGGCTCCTGAGAGGCTGGAGAGACTACCCAAACATGGCCTCTCAGGTCACTGAGAGGCTGGGTTTCCACCACTGGTTTCCCAGCTTCAAGGCTCAGATAGCTCTGGAAGTGTACATGGTGGCTTACACCTGTAATCCCTCTCCACTCCTCTTTGGGAGGCCAAGGTGGGTGGATCGCGAGGTCAGGAGTTCTCAGCACCAACCTGGCCAAGATGTATGGTAAAATCACGTCTGTATTAAAAATACAAAAATAATCCGGGCATAAAGTGTAAGCCCTGTAATCCCAGCTACCTAGATGAGGCAGGAAATGCTTGAACCCGTGGTGGAGGTTGCAGGAGCCGGTGATCATACTGCACTCCAGCCTTTCTGGGAGACAGAGTGAGACTCCCGTGATCAAAACAAAACAAAACAAAAGCCTTCAGGATAATTCGAGGCATCTGGTTCTTTTTAAAGAACCTCCCTTTTATAATTTAGGATTAATGAATTTCTCTGTAAGCTTCTGGAAGCCCTTCCTATGTCCAACCTTGACTAACTTTAGGTTCTGGTGTGCCTGCTGTGGAAAGTCGAGATCTGCTGTTGATCTCAGTGTGGTGTCTTTCAGGCTTTGAGATCTCCAGTTAGGCTCCAAGACTGTGGGGTTGAGGACAATCACATTTTCCGGCTTCATTCTCACCGGGTCTTGTGGAATCGCCTCCGAGGGACTGGTGGAAGCTCCCTTCCACCCACTTTGGTGATTTGCGCCACAGACACTTCCCACCTGCAGCTCTGTTCTTTCTTCCTGAGATCAGAGGCTGGTTATCGTACTGACATACTTCCCTACCTCCCTTTGGCTTCTAATGTCCTTTCTCTGAGTTTAAAATGAGCCAATTACTCAGCCATGATTAAGGTCTTCAGGAATATTAAGTGGGAGATTCGTAAGGGCTCTCCTAGGAGGTGAGGAAGATGATCACTACTCTGTGTGTCCACTATGTGCTTGCACTCTACTGAGCCATAGGGATGTGATAGATACTGAGGCTCGTAAGAGAGATCATCAGGTGTGGCTTGCCCGGAGCTTCTCCAGTTTCTAAGTGATGCTATCCAAGGTCCCTGGCTTTCCTTCCATGCCAAGATCTTTAGAAACCTCCTCATCTAGTAAAAGACAGGTACTACTAGGTGGCGGAGACAGAGCTGCCCAGTGTGCAGCTAGGCAGTACAGGGTCAAGTCCGTGGCTGTAGAGAGGATGTTCCCATGAAGATGTGGGGGGAATTGAGCACATGTGTAAATTCAGCAGCAGAATGAGGTGTGTCCCTATAGGCATTAAGGGAAGTGTGTGGTGAAACAACCACCAGCGTAAGCTCGCTTGGGTGAACCGAGGCACATCATGCTGCATACGGCTAATGCTTTTCCCAGTGTACATCGTGTTTCACTTCCTGTACTCGTTGGACTTTAAGCTTGCGCTGATATGGCCGAGGTTCAGGCACTGGTGGGGGCTTGTGCACGGAGAGAAAGGGCCTTGGAAGGCTTGGGAGTAGAGGGGCAGGTACTGTTGTGTGTTGATGGGTATTGTTTGAATTGGCTGGATGATCTCTGAACAACCAAGAGGTATATAATGATCTACCTAACCGGACGTGCTAAAGTACTTCACTTTGGGGATGATTTCTCCAGGGAGACAATCCATTGATAGGTATGAAAGGAAGCATCGAGATGTGTCTAGTAGTTGTGTAGGAAGTCTGGGGTGCTTTCCTGATGAGGTGCCTCAGCTGGAAATAGCCTCTCTCCCCTTTCCCTATGACCTGCCTCTGTGGCTATTGCAGATATTTTGTTCCTCTACTGCACTGTAAGCTTCGGAGGCTGGATTTGCCTCTCGCTCCATTCATTCATTCACCAGCTTCCTTCTATTTCACATTCACTGATTCATGTTGTTGTTAGTTTACAATATGTACTAGAGATTGTGTATCAGTGATGGGGCATATCTAGATAAAAAGAAACATACAGATCTTCCTTTCTTCTGAGCCCACACCTACTGGCCGCAGAGACACAGCAAAGTAAATATGCAAATGGTAAAATAGAAATTTCTGAAATGTGGAGAACAGTCCCATGAGGAAATAGGGTAAGATATGGAGGAGAGAATAAGCCAGAAGGTGACGGGATTGAGGCAGCTGGGTACAGCCCAAGGCCCAGGAATTCGGTCACATCTAGTAGTGGGACCCACATGAGAGGAGCAGTGCCAAGCAAAGAAGTCAAATGTCTACTGGGCTGGGCATGGCCAGGCCGCCCATGCTGTAGTTGGACGCCCTCCTCCCATAATTATTTTAAAATAACAGGATGGTGGCGGAAGGGCGCGCCGTGTCATGCCTGTGATCCCAGCAATTTGGGAGGCTGAGGTGGGTGGATCACGAGGTCAGGAGTTGGAGACAAGCTCACAACATGGTGAAACTCTGCCCTTCCAAAAATACAAAAATTGCTCAGCTAGAGCTTGGTCATGTATGTCTGTGGGAATTCCAATAACTCGGGAGACTGAGGCAGTGAGAATTGCCTGAACCCAGCAGGCGGAGGTTGCAGTGAGTCAAGATGGTGTCACTGCACTCCAGCCTGGTTCTGGGGCTGGCCTTAGTGAGTAACAGACTGCAGTGATGTGTCAGCTTTCTTATGGCACAGGAACAACCAAATCTCTTATATTTCAGTGGCCTGGTTCCCAATAGACCCTGCAGGCCCTACAGGTCGTCTTCCCCAGCTGCCCCTTGCTTCACACCACTACCTTCTACTCCATAATATTATAGAAGGACACCTAGTCAGACAAAATGATACAACTTAATTTTATTAGGACAACGCTGGTGGGCACTAGAGTGGCACCTTCCGGGGCCAGGAGAGGCACTGGGGAGGGGTCACAGGATGCCACGTGGGCACCTAGAAGCCACAGCTGCCCTCCACAGTGCGGCACTGCACCATGCGCAGGAATGTCTCGACCATGTCCATATCCTTCCTGAAGCAGTGGAGCAGCCCGTAGTTCTTGAGCAGTGAGTCATCGTTCTGTGAGTGTGTGTCAAACTTGCTGTAGGTCTGCTTGAAGATCTGCCCAGTCTGGGGACTGCCATCTTGCAGCCTCTGCAAAGTGAAGGAAGAGAAGGAGAGGCTGAGCGCTTGGTCACTGTTCCCTCCCTCCCTCTCTCATTCATTCATTTTCCTCCCTCCCCTTCAGGGTGTAGAGAAAGACCTGGAGGATTCATCAGGGGAAATGAAGACTAAAGTGAGTTCTCTTGGGTCAGGGCCTGACTGCTAAAAAGAGAGCAGCAGTGTTTCTCTCCCTCAGCCCTTGAAGCCAGTGAGGTTCCAGGATTGGGGACCCCTGGCGCCATCCTCACCCCCATCAACGTTTGGATGCCTTCCTCTAGGTCCTTTAGGAGGTCATGGACGTCGCTGTCCGAGGTGTCATGCACCAGGCTGTTGGCAAACACACTACTGAGGAACTGCACGGGCTCCAGCCACGACTGGATGAGCAGCAGGGAGATGCGGAGCAGCTCTGGGTTCTGCAGAGGAAGGACACGCAGTGGCTGTGCTGCCCGGGGCCTCTGACCACAGGCCTCCCCAATCCCCGCCTTGGGGAGAAGGCATCCACTCACAGATTTCTGCTGCGTTTCCTCCATGTTGGAGGGTGTGGGAATAGTCTCTGAGAAGCAGAAGGAGGCCTGTGGGTTCTCCATGAGCGAATGCTTCTTTTCCTTTGGGATGTAGGTTTTTTCCTAGGAGAAGGACCCCCCCCACCAAGAGGTACTGCTGGTCTCTATGCTGGAGACCAGCTCCCATTGTTACTTCTCTGAGAACCTCGCTCAGTGTATGCTCATCTGCCGGCATTTTCGCCTCAGAAAACAACCCTGAGCTCCTTAGTCTCCTCCCATGACTTCCCAGGGGGGGAAAGTCACCCCTTCCTGCCACCCCTGACACGCACCCATTCCCCAAGAGCTTACAAACTCCTCGTAGGTGTCAAAGGCCAGTTGGTGCAGGCGATGGGCTTGGATCATAACGTTGTCAAAAAGCCTGGATAAGGGTACGCTTGGGACCCTACCAGCCTCTTGAAGCCAAGGCAGGCAGAGGAGGGCAAAAACCAGGAGCAGGGATGTCCGGGAGCCTGGGGAGAAACCGGAGGGCAACGGAGGGAGCCAGAGAGCAAGAGGCCAGTGCTCTCCCTGCCCCAGGAGTTGTTTGTTTTTCTCTCTCTATCCCTCCAGGGACCAGGAACATTCTGATATTGGTTAAATATCTGGGCTTAGATGGCGATACTCACATTCAGAAGCCCCAAAC